GTCTGTGTTGTGTTGTAATGTTTTGTTTGCCATGTTTAAATTGTACTTTTTTACATTGCACTACTGTTTCCATATTTGTATTTATATTTTTTACCCTATCCTATTTTTTTTTAATTTTTAAATTTTTTTTGTGTTATTTTATTTTTATCTATCATATCTGTTGCACTGCATTCTTTGCACTATCACCTTAGCTCTGGATCAGGGAAACACTGTCTCATTTCACTGTGTACTGTACAGCTGTATGTGGTTGAAAAGACAATAAAGCTCTTTGAATCTTGAATCATATCCCAGAGATAAATCTATTCTGTACTGAGGAATGAGCTAAATCCCTCAAAACTGATGTGTAGAACTGATTAGCAGCTACTGGACCTTTTGTTTGTAGTGAGTGTCGCATGAGGGAGTCGCAGCAGATTCTAAAGCAAAGTTTCACATACTTAGGCGACTTACAGATGTTGACTAAGCACAATATTTTTATCCCATTTGTTTAATTGGCCTTATTTTATGTACATTAAAAATGTGATCATGTTTCAGGTCAAATTTATGCAGAAATAAGGACAATTTTAAGGTGTTCCCCAACTCTCAAGCACCACTGTAGACTTCTGCTGGTCAGACTGTTTGGGTCACATGACTACTTGCATACCACAAGCTAATCTGCCTCCCAGAGGATCATTGTGAATCATGCTGGCAGCAGACTTCAGGCCTCGGTCACAACTGGACGCACGACTTTTGGGATCGTACGTCCTCTGCGAATTTTGGGTCCCGTGGAGGCCATGGAGGTCATAGAGGTAGAGGAAAGGTTGCAAGGGCTACGTCAGAAATGCATAAGAGAGGAGCAAGCCTGCCTTGCGAGTTGCACGTGAGATGTCTGTTCAATTGCACCGTGTGATTGCCATGGAAATTGTACTCACTTATAGAGTTTGTCTTGCCACCTGCGTTCGTGGCACACACTCACCACTTATGAAGAGAATAGAACGCACAGGGAAAGTCAGTCACACTTGCCTCACACGCACGTGATGATGTACTGACGGCGTACGTCAGTTTGCCATAATTTTCAAAAACAAAACAAAACAAAAACAGAACACAGACACTTCGGCGATCAGGTGATATCCTGTCTTGTAAACAGTGACGGCTGGTGAAAATTTGGGGGAGCGCAGTCTGCAAATGACCTTTTATTTAAAATCAGAAATTAGAACATGAGTAACAACAGGCACAACTATTTATAGCATATATGTCAAACTCATGGCCCACGGGCCAAATCCGGGCGGTCACGTCATTTTATGTGGCCCGTGAGAGATGTGTGTTTCGTAATCAGATAAATTAATGGGATTTACCTGATATAATATAACGGAATGTAATGTTAGAATTTATGTTATAACAACACAGCAATGTGCCTACACAGAGCTCCAGACTGAGACCAAAATGTTCTCATATGTGACCATTTATGAGCGTGTGCGAGCTGAAGTTCCACGTGTTTCAGGCTGATCTGGTTCCTTCCGTCAGCACAGGTAGCTGCTGCTCCAGGTGTTGTGGTTGGAAATAGTCAGATTTCTTCTACATTGACTCAGTCTCTCTCTGTCTGACGGTAAAACAGTCAGTTTCACTGTTACTGTGTTCCAATGACACAACGACACATTGCAGATTGTGTTTAAGAAAAAAAAAGAAAAAGGTAGAGAGGGAGAGGTCCGACACACCTGATGATAAAAGTGTTCAGGTGCAGGCAGACAGATCTCCACTGAGTCCGTTAGAAAGAAAAAGTAGCCCCACATTCAAACTGCAAGATTCACATTTTAACAACGATCACGATTTTGACTCTATAAACATGATGGCCAGTGGTCTGGACGTTTAAAATGCGCTCAGCTCGCAGAAACGTCTGTTCATAAAAACCTCTGCTCATAGAAAACTTTTCAACTTCGGTAAATTAGTGTAGAACGCACTTTCCACTGTTTTCCAACTAATATTTGGTCGCTCACCTGTCAGAGGAGCTGCACTGAACACACCTGGTAGCATCTTCCGGAGCAGCATGTGAGGCGTTCAGGGACCATCGGTAAAATGTATCATCTACCAGAGCAGCATGTGAGGCGTTCAGGGAACATCAGTAAAATGTACCATCAACTCATACACATGTTCAGCAAGTGATTAGCCTGTGTCCAGTTAATGACTGATGTCAGAAGACGGCTGGTGACAAAATAAAAATATTTTCAGATTAAAACATTTTACAGATATCTAGTCTTATATCACTGAAAATCATTGCAACATAACTAAGTTATGCAAATTCATCAGCTGCATGGTGTGTTAATAGCTATGGCAATGCTGAACCAAAATAAAGGGGTGGGCGACCAAATCATTAGCTGGTGCAACCAACAAAGAAAGTTGACAGCACCAGTGCTGCCATTGGAAAAGTTAGTCTGGAGCCCTCCTACGTGTGTTTTACTTTTAGATAAAGGTATGCACAATAGTTTTACATATAATAAAAAACAATCAAATGCAGAGACAATTATTTAACAATATGTAAGTCGTTACATTAATACAGTCTTACAATTACAACCGGCCCTTAGAGGGCAAACATAATGCTAATGTGGCCTGGGATGAAAATGAGTTTGACACCCCTGATTTACAGGAATGCAAATGTTCTAACTTTGGAGGATATTCTAATCATAATCTAATTTAACATTATCAAGACTTACCAGAACTAAATTTCAAAACCATTCATCAAACTTTCATAAATATTTACAGGATCTGTACAAACTCAAATCACACACCATAAAGAATGAAAAAAACACTACTCAGGACTCCAGACTAACTTTTTCACTGGTAGCACCAGTACGACCCACTTTCTCATTTTGTTGCACCTCCCACCTGGTCAAAGGCAAAACATATGACTTGCTGAACATTTTCTTATCAAGAGACCCTACGATTTATTTATGCTGCCTAAACGCCCCACATAGCAGGCTGCGGTAGCTGCTGTTGGTGGCTGTGGTGCTCTGACAGGTGTGTGACCAAAAATGATTTTAAAAATAATAAACTATGGGCGCCCCTATAGCTCACCTGGTTGAGTGGGCGACCCATGAACAGGGGCTACAGTTCCCCGGCACAGCGTTCGACTCCCGCTCACGACTCCCGCTCACGACAGTTTGCTGCAAGGTCTCTCCCCATTCTTCTCCCCCCTTTCCTGTCTCACTCTCTCACTGTCCTGACTAATAAAGGCAAAAATGCCAAAAAAATAATCTTAAAAAAAAAAATAAATAAACTAGGGCGTTCTCATGTCACATTTGTTCAAGGTTAAACACAGTTACATGTATTCTACACATGGTCTTTTCTAAGACTAGTCTTTTCTCCAGTGACAGCATGTCCAATGTATTAAGCCATCACGACACTGGCTGTCATCTAGTAGAGGAGGAGGGGAAAGGCCGTGTGACGGTGTCAGAAAGCACAGTCGTAAGAACGTCGAAGGACAGTTATGATGTCCAACCACAGAAGACAAAAGCAAATAAAGACAAAATTAACTGGCTTACAGCAAAAGTGGACGAATCCGGGACGCACCGAGCTGCGCCCTGTGAGAAAGTCTGCAGCTGCTAATCAGAGACTGGGCCGAGGTCACATGATCACAAAGTTTTTCGAGCTACATACACACTCATGTGGCCAGCGCCAGTAAACACACACTAAAGGCAAGTATTGAATCTGTTGGTAATACAAATATTGTTAATATAGCAAAATAATGTGAACGTTATTATTAATTTTATCATTTTTTTGTTATAATTAATTAGAATTTAATTTCACGTTTGAGAACTACTTTTTATCTGGTCATTAGTAGTGTGGCGGTGCCCCTGCGACCTGTATTGACCAGAAGCCATTTACAAGTTGTAAATTCTGTTGACATACTGACAGGGTTTGAGCTTGAGGACATCCCGTCATCCTGGGGTGATAAAAAAATAAAAAACAAAAAAATAGATCCAGGAAGATGCAAACTGATTTCAGGACAAAAATTGAAACTTTATAACAAATGGTGATAATATGATTTCATGTTTTGTGTGGCACACACACAGATCCTGTCAACTTGGCAGTGACAGCTTGCCTGCAGTGTCACTGTCAGCCTCGATACTGACTTCCAGCGTGATACCGGCCAGCAGCATCTCCAGTGACCGACCTGCTCCTCCAATGGAGAGAGGATATATATGTATACGCTAATGATTACCTCTTAAAAACATTGACGTTATGTCCCAACATAGTGTGAGATCTGCGCATACTGATAAAGCCAAGAGTCTCGATGTGTGTGTGTGTGTGTGTCTGAAATGTAAGAAAACGCTGCTTGGATATGTGAAAACATTTGGCCGCTGATGCGTGCCCGCCTTGCATTCGATTTTGTTCATGAGTTGTGAGTGTGTGCGCCATGCTTTACACACAAGGGGCACTTTCTCCCTCATTGCATGCGATGAGTGTCTAAGACCACGTATTTTCTTCCCATGGTGCCGCTTGCTCAAAGGAAGTCCAGAGGCAGCTTTGGATTGTTGGTTTCTCTATTTAAATTTGTAAGGTCTATACCTTACTTTGTTAAGCGCTGTGTGATAATGTGTTATAAACTGCACTATACAAATAAAATTGAATTGAATTGAAATTGAATAAAAATTTTGCATGTCTCACTCACAAACTCCTGCCGGGGGGAGCAGGTTACACTTGCTGCATCGCTTTTCTCAGAGATTTTGTAGAATCTTTTAAGATCCTCCCTACGTGCTTACAGGCTGTCTGCGACCTGGCACGTACCATTTTGCACATATTTTGGACACAGACAGGCCATAGGAGCCCATATGGCCAGTTGTGACCGAGGCCTTAAAAAGGAAGAAAAAAGTGTGGCACAAAAATGTATTTCTGGTTCTGCTTAATCTGAACGTTTGCTGCACAGAATTGTGTTTATGTTTTAGTTTGTATGTTTACATAAAGCTCCATCATCCTAAACTGTAAGTGTTAGCTGACCCGCTTTGTATTTTCTGTCTGTTTTTCTGCAGGGACGCTTCTTTTGGAAATTGTTCCTACAGCCTCACAGTGCTGGACTGTCTGCAGGGCATCAGGAAGGTAAGTCTAGTGTGCTATCTGATGCTAATAATTTAAATTGAAATGCTTTGAGTTGCTGTAGTATCCAAAGGAGCCATGCATTTCACGAACTAAACAATTTTTTTTCATTGTGTGTGTTGATCAACGGAAACATAAATGTTTTTGATCACTGAATAATCATTTTAGTATTTTCTTTTCAAAAGGTCAAATATTTGCCAGTTTCAGCGTTCAGTGGAGGTTTGATGCTTTTCTTTACATGCATGTATATAACCTGAGTCTGAGTTTATTTTGGGCACACAAAAAAAAAAATCTATTTTCTCAATTTCTCCCGTACTCATCCCACAACCAATAAAGATGTTGTTTACCTTCTAGTTTTCAACAACTTAGCTCTGGTTCTGTCATGAACTCACTAACAGAATGGGTGGACACAAATGCTTGACTCAGTAGGTTCAGGCAAAAGACAGGTTTAATGGCAGTTAGGGTTCGGTGCACAGGAAATCAGTCCAACAGGCAGAAGTATCCAAGAATCGGCGGGCAGAGGCAAGGTCCAAAAAGCAGAAACAAGGTCAAGATCAAACAGGCAAAGGTATCCAAAATCGTCAGACAAGAGGCAAGGTCAAAAAGCAGAAACAATGTCGAGATCAAACAGACTGTGACTTAACTTGAATAACGCTGGTACGAGGACCGTGAAGTGCAACAAACTGGCGATGAGACAGTGAGACACACAGGGTAAAATACACGAGGTAATGAGGGTAAATGGGAAACAGGTGCGGGGAGGTAATCAGGGAGCAGGTGAGACAAGACAGGTACAGGAAGTAAAGCTAGAACAGAACACCCAGTCAAATGATTTCAAAATAAAACAGGAAAGACGAGACATAATGTGCAGACATGAACAGAAACTTGACAGACATGACAGGTTCTTGTTTAACACCAGGTTTCGGTATCCTGCACCGTCTGACTTCTGGTGCCACCTGTAAAAAGTAAAAAGTTCAAAATGTTTGTGACTCTAGATGAAGCAAGCTACTGACTGGATAAGAGAGTCTCCAGTTGTTTTAGTATATTACTGTTACATAACAGCTCAGTGTGTTTAACAGGACTAGGAGCTGATGTACTGTAGGAGAGTGACAGCAACCAATGAGACAGCAGCAGCTCTGTGTACGTGTGTGGACTTTTTTTTGTCCCCACACCACAGACTGCTTTTTTCAGGGTTAAGACTTGGTTTTAGGGTAAAGGTTTGAATTCCATTTAGGATGAGTTTAGGGTAAGGCTTAAGGTTAAGCATTCAGTAGTGATAATTACTATTAAGGAAATGGAATATGGAATGCATTATGTCAATGAGCAAATCCCATATATAGCAAAAGAAGGTTGTGTGTGTGCGTGTGTTAATCAAAGTTGAGCAACAGTGTAAAAGGTCAGTATGTGTGTTCACACACAGACCTGAGTATTTTTATCATCCATCCATTCATTATCTATACACCGCTTAATCCTCACTAGGGTCGCGAGGGAGCTGGAGCCTATCCCAGCTGACTTAGAGCGAAGGCAAGGGACACCCTGGACAGGTCACCAGTCTATCACAGGGCTACACTTAGAGACAGACAACCAAGCACACTCACATTTCCACTCATGGACAATTTAGAATCACCAGTTAACCTCAACATGTTTCTGCACTGTGGGAGGAAGCCGGAGAACCCGGAGAGAACCCACAATGCATGGGGAGAACATGCAAACTCCATGCAGAAAGATCCTGGGTGTCCTCACCGGGATGCGAACAGTGGTGAACCTTCCCAGGAGTGGCTGGTCGACCAAAATGACCCCAAGAGCACAGCAAGGATTCATCCAGGAGCTCACAAAGAAACCCAGGACAACATCTAAGGAACTGCAGGCCTCCCGTGCCTCAGTTAAGGTTGGTGTTCATGAATCAACAATAAGGAAGAGACTGGGCAAAAATGGCATCCCGACAGAGTTCCAGGGCCAAAACAACTGCTGACCAAAAAGAACATAAAGGCTTGTCTTACTTTTGCAAACAAACATCTTAGTGATCCTCAAGACTTCTGGGAGAATATTCTATGGACAGACGTGACCAAAGTTGAACTTTTTCAAAGGTGTGTGTCTCGTTACATCTGGATTAAAAGTAACACAGCATTTCAGAAAAAGAGCATCATACCAACAGTCAGACATAGTGGTGGTAGTGTGATGGTCTGGGACTGCTTTGCTGCTTCAGGACCTGGACGACTTGCTGTGATTGATGGAACCATGAATTCTGCTCTCTACCAGAAAATCCTGAAGGAGAATGTTTGGCCATCAGTTCATGACCTCAAGCTGAAGCGCACTTGGGTTCTGCAGCAGGACAACGATCCAAAACACACCAGCAAGTCGACTTCTGAATGGCTTAGAAAATAAATAAATAAATAAATAAATGAAAGTTTTGGAGTGGCCTAGTCAAAGTCTGGATTTGAATCCAAATGAAATGCTATGGCATGACCTTGAAAAGGCCATTCATGCTCAAAACCTCCAGTGTTGCTGAATTACAACAATTCTGCAAAGAAGAGTGGGCCAATATATCTCCATAGAAATGTGAAGACTCATTGCCAGTTCTAGAAAAGGCGTGATTTCAGTTGCTGCTGGGGTGGCCCAACTAGTTATCAGGTTTAGGGGGCAATTACTTTTTCACACTTGGCCAGGTAGCTTTGAATAGTTTTTTTTTTTTCCTTCATAAATAACATTATCATTTAAAAAATGCATTTTGTGTTTAGTTGGATTACCTTTGTCTGATATTTACATTTGTTTGATGATCTTAAACATTAAAGTGGGGACAATGTGCAAAAAAAAATAAGAATTTGAGAAGGCGGTAAGTACTTTTTCACGGCATCGTATATCCAAACTAATATGTATCTCAAATGCATCAGGAGCCCAACACTAGCATTTATCACAGTTACAATAAATCCCCAGACATCGGGACATAGGTCTGTGTAAACACACTCAGTGACTTTTCACTGTTGCTCAACATTTTGCTCAACTGTTGCTGTAGCTACACTAGTTAGGGCATTTTATGAGATTTTTCACAAATCTGCCAACTAAATCGTTACCAAACAATTTCTTCACCAATATGTTTGTAAAGGTGTGTAATAACATGCCTTAAAATGTTGAAGTTCAACTCCTTTGGGAAACCCTGAAAAAAACCTGCTCAATTTAGGGTACCGACAACCGATTGACGAAAAATCGATTTTTTAAAAAATTGGGCCTTAAGTAACTCATGAGGGGTCAAATCAGGGTTTTATTTTATGATTCTGAGTTGATTGTAATCATTTCTATTTCACCACAAACACTCCATTGTTGAAAAAGGCCACACTCACTTTCACATTTACATTCACAGTAGTTTTTATTTCACAGTTTCAGGTTCCACAGGCTCAGATGCACGTGACCCCATTCTTCTTGCAGCTGCACCGCCGGTTGCTGAAAGAAAAATGACAATATACAGCTCATGAACTTCAGTAGCTCCTCAGGAGTCATGGGGTTTAGTGTTGGAATTGGCTCATACCCATGCACACCTAATGTCACTGGGGTTCAGAGACATGCTCTGTAGAAGGATCCAGACCCGGGTCTGCAGAGTGAATGCTGTGCAGCTGCACCCTCTGTTAGAGGTAGAGTCTCTGGTTTGAGAACA